AGCAGGTATCAGTTGAATCTAAGCCCTGCACAGTGACAGGCCTAAGCCGCCTTCCACTGACATGTAGTGCATGGATAATGGATTAACCACACCTTGAACATGAACACCAGTAACAGAGCTGCCTTTTACAGCTGGAGACAAACACAAGGAATAGTCGGTTCTGAGTATTTGTGCGGTGTAATTGCATCTTTGGAGTGTGGCTCTCTGTCCTCCATTTTCTTCCTCCCACAAAACCCAGGGCATGGTGGAATTTTCCTTCCTCCTTCTGTCTTCTGGCAGCCACTTCTGCTCAGCCCTAAGACTTGAAGGGGTCGTCCGTCTCCAGGCTGAGTCACAGTCTCGGCTGCTGATTTCTCCCTAGACCCAAATGACTTGACCTTCTTCTCCACTCTGAGGCCCCTGACAAACTGCTCACAGTTGCTGCCAGGGATCAGAAAAGCAGTCTGTCTCCTTGTCATCTGTCTGTACCCACTGGGGAGACCCATTGTGGTGACATTCCTTCTGCCAAAATTCTAAGAATCAGCACATATCGAGAGACAGTGGGCCAGATGTGGAGGGAGTTCTGTCAGAAAAGATTTGGCATTGACCCTCTGTGGTGATTAACAGTAGGTTGTCCATTTGACAGGTCCTAGAATCACCAGAGATATGACTCTAGGTATATCTGTGAGAGATTATCTATTTAATTGAAGTGGGGAGACCCACCCTCCTCAAATATGAGCAGTGTCATCCCACCGACTGAAGTAGATTGCATAAAAAGCAGAGAACCACTAACTACCAACATTCATCCCCTCTGTACCTTCCAGCTGCCATGCCTCCCCCAGCATGAATACAGAATGTGGCATTTTGATGTCACAGTGAAGCTGTGATTTCATGATGCATCACTGTGATGGTTTAATGGTACTTTGTTATCTAAAAACAGTTGAGTGTTGTGAAGGCATTGTATTGCGATGTCATGGTTGAGCCGTGTTATCACAATGCATCTTTGTGACAGAAAACTGAACACTTGTGTAGTGAAACAGCATTGTGATGGCAGAATGGTGTATCATGCAGACAAATTTGAGAATTGTGATGTCTTGAACTGCAAGCTGAGATAGACCTTGCCGTCTCTACATGGCTGTTTGCTGTTCAGGGAAGTAACACAGCCCCCGTGTTGATTCTCACAGTGGAGGTATCAGCTTACACTCTCATCCGCAGCGTCAGGATTCTTCCTTCCTGACAACTTTGACAGAATCTGCCATCATTTGTTTTCTTGATGATAGCCATCCTGACTAAGGTGAGTTGGAATTTCAAAGCAATTTCAATTTGTATTTTCTTGATGGCTAAGGATATTGGACATTTTTCAAGTACCCCTTGGCCATTTGTATTTCTTCTTTTGAGAACTGTATATACTCCATTAGTTCATTTATTGATTGGATAATTTTTTTGTATTTGACTTTTGTAATTCTTTATATATCTTAGATATAATTCTCCCATGTGATATATAGTTGACCATTTTAAAAAGGAGATTTGTGGTAATTTCCTTTGTTGTGCGGAATTACTTTAATCTATTGCCCTCTCTCAATTCTTGGGATGATTTCAAGTGCTATTGGAGCCCTTGTTAGAGTACTTGCCCATGCTTATATTTTGAAGAGTTTTACCTATGTTCTCCCTAACAGTTTCAAAGTTTTAGGTTGTACATTAAAGTCTCTGACCCCCATTGGATTGATTTTTGAGCAGGGAAAAGAGAAAGTGTTTGACATTTTTTCAAAAGTGAAACAGTCTGCATTTGAGGGCAATGCTTGCTTAGATGATTCTTAAAGCAGTGTTTCAATCACAGGAGAACTTTAAGTTGTTTTACCTTTTTATTTAAAGTATTTTTATAATTATTATCTTTAAAAACTGTAGAGCAAGGTGTGTGTAATATTGCAAGAACACGATATCTCACTAGAGGGCGCCAAGCACCCACTTACTTGTATCTAGACTCTGGATGTCATACCTTGAGATTCTGGACTCTTTGTTATTCACACATGTTGTAAGCCTCAGACCTGGGCCCTCCTTTGTAGTTCCTATTTGGACTTTGCACTGGAATTGCTGTCACAGTATAAGAGTTTTGGAATGAATTTGCTAGGTACTAGTGCTGTGTATGTCCAAACTGAGACCATAGAGTATCACAAACAGCACTTGTTCAACCCAGCTCACCAATTGTGTTGCTGGGTTTGGCAAAAAGGAAAAGATGTTAAAAAGAGAGTGATAATGAGAAACAGACACAGAGATGGAGAGAGGGAGGGAGACAGAGGCAGATGGGGCAGCTCTGGTCTCCCCTCCTGTGGAGCATCTCCTTCATTTTAGGGTTTTATAGTCCCTGTGAAAGATGTCCAGGAGTTCCTGTCAGAGGCTCTGGACACTTCTGAGTGATTTTCAAGTTTTATTTCATATAGAAAAGTGTAGATTAAGAAATGGAATAAAAGGAGCAGTGACCTCAGGACCAAATCCCACACTGCTACATTTCCAACTTGTGAAAAGGAATTAACAAAAGGCTCATAGACAGGTGTGGTGGTGCATGCCTTTAATCCCTGCACTCCAGAGGCAGAGACTGGTAGATAACTGAGTTTGAGGTCAGCCTGGTCTAGAGAGCAAGTTCCAGGACAGCCAAGCTTAGGTAGTGAAGGAAACCACGGAAAACAGAAAGTTGTTGAAGATGTAGCTGAACAAGGTGGCCATGTTCTAGCTCCAGTAAGCATCAGAATTTGGCAGCTTTGGCCACATAGTTTGGACTAAAATATTTGTCCCTTATGAGGCCCTACATCTACCCAGGATGTGAGGTTGATGTTTTTGAGAAGGCACCAGAAGCACCAAGATTCAGTGATGGTTTTCATTTACAAAGGATAATGGTAGGAGGAGTGGTCATGGAGACAATGGGAACTGACCTATTAGAACCCAGATGGCTCTGTGTGTACAGGAACTCAGGCTGCTATGACTACAATGATTGGCAAG